GTGTCCACCGTTGTTCCCTACACTGTGCAGGATAGAAAAAAAGTTTGCATTTCAGTACACTTGAATTTTTTTGTATAGAATTTATTTTGAACTATGCAAAAGTCATTCATAAGGAGTACTTCTGTGCATATGGTGGTGCAGTCACAAGCCTCCGACAATGTAATAGTGTTACGAGGAGAAGAATCACATAGGATTTAGTACATCGGGATGGCCAGTTTCAATATGGAAACCAGGAGCCAGTCTGTCCAATCCGGAAGCCAGCCAGACTTTAAAAGGAGCCAGCTCCATTGACATCTACAGAAAACCTCAAATGTTAGGTGCCAGCTGTCGTTTTTTAGGCGCACTGGCTACCTGTCTCCTGGGGCATGTCCAGCCCTGTAGTACATACACTGTGGGATACTCATGACTTATCCTCTTATGTCCTAAGTTGTGGAAAGTAGAGCCAGAGGTTTGAATAGACTTGGCACATGCATTGTCCTGTGCCAGATCCTTGCGGTTCGGAATAGGTGACTATCCTGCGTCCGGCGATAATCATCTATCCCAGACCACATGTAATTGTACACATGAACTGCCGCTGACCGATGCGCCTGTTATCACCCAGTCATTTACTTCAGTGGGTACAGCTGCTGCATCTGAACAGGGGGACACCTGGGATTCCTGACGCAAGAATCTGTATGTTCTCGCCGCAGAAATGCCAGATAACCCCATTTGGCATAGCTGCTTTCTCAGTAGTATTTAGCCTTGCCCATACACCCCTCGGCGCTGCTGGTTATAGCCTGTTACTGTGTTTCCCCGAAAATAAGACAGTGTCTTATATATTTATTTTTTTTTCACGAAAAAAGACACTAGGTCTTATTTTCGGGGGATGTCTTACCTGGCTGCATCTGTCCGCTCTGCCGTCCAGGGAGCCACAAACAGGTGGGCGGGCATGCGGGGGGGGGGGTGTCTGGCAGGGGGGAGCTGCCTCTCCACGCTCTGATGCCATCCAGAGAGCAACAGACAGGTGGGCGTGCGGGTAGGTGAGGGGGAGGGAGCTGCGGCCGGGTCTTCACATGTAAAATTTTATTGCATGTGCAGCTACCCCGAAGGTAAGACCTAGCGCTATCTTCAGGGATGTCTGTAATATAAGACCTACCACCGAACTAGGTCTTATTTTCGGGGTAGGTCTTATATTACAGAAATCCCTGAAGATAGCGCTAGGTCTTATTTTCGGGGTAGGTCTTACTTTCGGGGAAACACGGTAGTAGAATTCTTCCCTCCTGGTAAAATCTCTTGCGTTTCTTGTGCTCTTCTTTTTTTACAGAATCTTTGCTACTTCCGCGGGCTCGGTTTGACGCGTCGCTGTTTTACTTAACCCGCAAATTTATGGACATTATTAAGACGGCCCCAGAGGGTGTTGTGGACCTAAATGAAGCTGCTAAGCAGCTAGGGGTGAGGAAAAGAAGAGTATATGACATCACCAATGCATTGGATGGCATCCGTCTTATTCAGAAGAGGTCCAAGAACTTGGTCCAATGGGTGTAAGTAGCCAAAAGTCATTTACTTTAAAAGGTTAGTTCTCCCAAAATGAGTAGCTCTGCTTTGGGAGGACTTTGACAGGTCCACTTACCTGACAGCCTGTGAAAATGAGCACCTCCCCAAGATGTTGGCTTTGACCATTCTGTGCTTGTATTATATCTTTTGTTCAGCTATCGTTCTGCATTCTTTATGTATTTATAGAGAATTTTAACTGAGGTTAGGTGATATTGCACAGTATACAATTGCCATGGCAAGGAAGAGCCACCTTCTTGCTGTGGCAGTAACACTTGGGTGTTATTGCCACAGCAAGTGACGTGGGTTGGGTACTTCAAGACCATTGGGTATCCAATCTCCTGGTCCTTAAAAGAGATCTAGGGTAACCTTTTTTTTATCCCATAGTTCTCTTAACTACCTCCGGGCCGGCCGTAGTAAAAAAACGGCCGGCCAGGAGCTCTCTCGATCTGAGCTGCATCCGTCTTATTCAGAAGAGGTCCAAGAACTTGGTCCAATGGGTGTAAGTAGCCAAAAGTCATTTACTTTAAAAGGTTAGTTCTCCCAAAATGAGTAGCTCTGCTTTGGGAGGACTTTGACAGGTCCACTTACCTGACAGCCTGTGAAAATGAGCACCTCCCCAAGATGTTGGCTTTGACCATTCTGTGCTTGTATTATATCTTTTGTTCAGCTATCGTTCTGCATTCTTTATGTATTTATAGAGAATTTTAACTGAGGTTAGGTGATATTGCACAGTATACAATTGCCATGGCAAGGAAGAGCCACCTTCTTGCTGTGGCAGTAACACTTGGGTGTTATTGCCACAGCAAGTGACGTGGGTTGGGTACTTCAAGACCATTGGGTATCCAATCTCCTGGTCCTTAAAAGAGATCTAGGGTAACCTTTTTTTATCCCATAGTTCTCTTAAGGGTCACGGGAGGACGTATACTAACGCCCTCCCGTGACCCAAAGCTACTGCTCACTATATACTGGGAGCGCCGTAGCCGGGACGGATCCTGACATTACTGTCAAGATCCACCCAGCTGCGTGAGTGACAGCTGGCTCTACCTATCTGGAGGCAGAGCCAGCTGTGTGCGCCCCCTCCCCGTCCATTCCTCCAGCCAGTGCTGGAGAATCGGAGGGGGGAATCCCTGCAGGGAGCTGTGACTGACAGTCACTCCACTCTGCAGGGAGATGATCGGGAAGTGAGCGAGCGACGGTATGTGTTCGCTCACTTCCCGATCTACAGAGCTGACGTGTGACAGTTTCATTGTCACACGTCGGCTCGAACTATGAGGATGAGTGGAAATCAAATAGTTCTCCTTTTAATGTTTATCTTTGGGTAGACTTACCCTTTGAGGAAAACCTATGTGCTTGTAAAAAAACAAAGCTGAATATGCGACACCACATTAAAGAGAAACTCCAGGATTTATAAAACGTAGTGGGGCTTGGAACCCCCTTCCCCCACCCACTGCATGGGTTAATAGTTTGGTCTATGGTCGCAAATAAAGAAAAACTATTTGCCTGATCCTCGATAACGCTTGGCTGCTAGAGTGGTCCCCTCAGCCCCCAGTCTCAGGCTGTCTAAGCCCTGCTGACGTCGTCAGGTCTATGCAAGGTCCATTCAATTGCATTAGATGTGAGGATGCAGATAGAAGCTCCATAGCTGGAGCAGAGGGGTAGTAAAGTGAGTGCTGACTGCCGCAGGACTGAGGATTGGGTGGGTGTATCTTCTTTATTCCGTACCCTAGACTAGGGATGTCCCGATGCCACTTTTTCAGGCCCAAGTACAAGTACATCCCCTCATGTACTTGCCGATACCAATTACCGATACTTTTTCTTAAAGGGACAGGTGACTTTAAATGATCCATAGTACAACTACATGTTATGTACTATGGATCATGGTTTAACCTATTCATGTTAGCAGCGGAGAATTGTAAGTCTCTTGCTGGAGTGTAGTGGAGGTGTGTGCTGTATATATGTACTACATATACATTACACACGTCCAGTACACTATAGCAATAGATTTACAGCCAGCCCCGTCCCAGCTT